TTTGATGTGTTCATTTGAGGAGCAAACAAACACACTGTCCTCGCAGTCGTCTCACACTTTGAAATGTTTGTAAATTTATGGGGAGTGACACTGAAATCTGACAAGTTTCCAAAACAAAACCAAGCTGGTTTTCCACGGCAGAAAACTGTTTTTGTAAAAACTGCGTCAAAGTGACACAGGACACATGTGCATATAGTGTTTGATGGAAAAACTACTTCTGTAAATATACTCTGTCACATTGAGTCAAATTTCATATTCACAAGCCTGAACAACTGAACGGATTTTGCTACAAGCTAAATCAACTTTTCTCAAACTCTGCACTGAAATGAATGAGACTCCCACTTAACTGGAAGTGCCAATGAAAGGGCAGTTCAAAAGCATTTAAAAGTGGAAGTAGAGGCAAAAGTGGAATAAGGTCTGAGCTTTGTTATTAACAGTGTGAATACCAGTTGCCACAGTTGGGCACCAGTGACAAAAAAACAAACAAAACAAACAAACAAACCAAAAACACAGTTGGTTGATTAATTAATTGATTACTGTATTTTTTGAACTATAACTGTCACCTTTTTCATGGTTTGCGTGGTCCTACGACTTTATACTCCGGTGGGACTTACATATTAAAATTTTCACACTGACAGCGTTGAGAGGTTCTAGTCTTGTGTGTCAGTATCTGCTGCTCCTATTCCTCCTGTACCACTGTCACTTGGCTCTACTGCGCATGTCTCCTGCAGAAAGAGCCTCTGTTCTGTCTGTATCATGTCAGTCGATCGCACCATTACTTCTGTACCACTGAACATTATAAATTTAAACAAACATAAAGACAACCAAAACCATCCTGTCTGGATTCAGAAAGGCTGGAATAATTCTAACTTGAACTGATGCTGAGTCTGACGACAGCTACACAGAAGAGGAAGCAGCGCTCTGTTTACCTCTGGAGGTCACGGAGTTGCTCAGAAATGACACAGAGGATGAAGAATTGAATAGATTTAGTGATTTGGAGTGAGATGGAGAGTTTGGTAAACTTGTTCTGTTCTGTTGTTTATGTTATAGTTTATCTGAAGAACTGTTCATATGTGACGTTAACAGTCTGTTGTTCTGTGTTCTATTGTTATTACTAGAACTTGACTTTCAAGATGAAATGTCGGTTCCTGATTTTATAAAACAAATTTCCCCCAAAAAGTGCGACTTATTATCCTGTGTGACTTATATATGTTTTTTTCTTACGCATTTTTTGGTTGGTGTGACTTGTACTCCGGAGCGACTTATAGTCCAAAAAATACGGTAATTATTATAGCTTCATGCAGAAGGTTGGGCACACTTGGTTTAGCTATAACTCCAAGGATACAAATAACAACAAAATAAATCTCTATGGTTTCCTGCTAAAATTTATTCTGTTGCATTTACGTGGTTTCAAATGGGGTGGGCAGGACTCCATCTTATTATTGTGACCACCACTTCACCTGAGCCCAGTGGTCAAACCAGGGCCTGAGAACCTGCTGCAACTCTGCTCCAGCACTGACCCCCCTCGACCCTCTCCTCTCCTCGCTCTCGAGGCTCCGTCCATGGTGTAAGAGCCACGGGGAGGCTGCCCTACCATCTCCACCTCTGCTCCAGGACCGACCCCCCTCGCCCCTCTCCTTTCCCCGCTCTCGAGGCTCCGTCTGCAGGGTTAGAGCCATCCGGAGCCCTGCTATCTTCAAACGCGCACTAACCCGCCATCAAAAGACACAAAAAAAAACACAACCATCTCGTTTTTATAATTAGACGAATACATTTCACATTCTGATGTTAAACGTGCGATCACTGCTAACCATGAATATGCAACGCTCTACTTAAAACAAGTTCAAAGAAAGGAGTATTAGAAGTACACATGGTTCACTTATGTTTGATCAGGTTTAGGTAAAGAGAGAAAGAGAAAGGGAGGGCTAAAAGACAAAACAAACATCCATATGACAGAGTGCTGCCACTTTGAACTAAATGTTATGAACCAAACACTGTTCTATATGGGCTCTTGTGTGTGTGAGAGAGGCTATAGGACCATCAGGAGAGAATATCAAAGAAAATCACTTTTGTTTTATGTTAAAAGAAGAAGAGGGCAGGGCTTTGGCGGCAGATCTCAAAGGATCAAAACAGAAGGAAGTGATATTCTAATGCAAAGATCACAAATGCATATGTTTCTTTATTGTAATTCGGGATGGCCAATAAACGTGGAGAGTCTTTAGTTTAAGTTCAAGTCTAGCCAAGTACTGCAAAGTGGATATAACAGCTGTATCTGAAAATAAATATTATACAGATATTGCTTTTCTTTCATGCTAAGAAAAAAACAGCTGGAAGCAGTTTTTCTTTCTGTTGTGGACGATGGTGATACCGTATATGCAACTCCCTCTTCCATTCTGCACAAACTGGACTCTGTGTATCATGCATCACTGAGGTTTATCACCAATGCGAAGTTTCACTCACCACTGCACTCTTTATGGTTTAGTTGGCTGGATATTGTTAATAATTTGCAGAAAACAGCATTTGTTAATATTTATTAACAAAACCATACAGGGGAACCTCCCAGGTATCTTAATCTCAGGTAGTTAACGGCTTCGCTCATCCTCCCAGTTACTCTTTACTGTCTCTTGGTGCCTCTCTGAGCTGGAAAAATCTGCCTTTTCCTACACACCATCATGGTTAATCAAATGGCTATGAGAAACTGGGATACTGCAGGTTTCATATTCCGACAGTAACTGGGATACTAAGGCATGTATCCTCAATACGGCAACATAAAGTGTCCAAAAGACAAACACTTTTCAGTCTTTTCATCACAACCGTAGCCAACAAAAATAAAGTGACCAGCATAAATAAAGTAACCATATATGAGCTGCACTAAACCTGCACAATCTGTACTTGTATGACCTTGCACACATATGAGCTCTGAAAAGTTTAAGATCAGAAAGAACACATATAATCCACTGTCCTTTAGCCCGACAGAGGCTGACTGCATCAGCAGCACAGGGAGCGAGCTGGGTTTTTTTCCAGCACTTATAGTTTATGGAAATGAGCCATGTAGTTTTAAGTTTATGTAAAACGTAAACAAATGCAGCAAAGCTGAATTATATTATCAAATGGTCTGATGTGGCTCTATAGTGGCTATGGTTTATATGTTGTAAAGTTGAGTTTATTTATGCAGAAGATTTTAATTAACAATCTACTGCAGTGTGAAACTTGTGTTTGCAAATGTTGGGTTTGATCTTTACCACTGGTTAGGAACCTCACGAGCTTCCTACGCTAAAGGAGCTCATGGTTGGTTGTATTTTTCCTGGTTTAGTAAGTATATAATTTTTGCGCTTGCTCATTTGTAAGATTATGTCAAGAAACCGGGACACTACATGTCATCATATATAGAGAGATATGAGTATCCCGGTTTCTCAGTGTGCATGTATACACATTACCCCGAATAGGGTCAGTCCACCTCATTTCACCCAATGAGTTAAACCCTACTTTGTTAAATTTGGATGAAACTTGGTATATAGGTAAATCATAGCCAGAAAAGCCAAAATTTCAAAATTTAGTTTGATCAGACCAACGATTTATAAGATATCACAATTTAATTTTTTCACTTTTTGAGTAGTCGCCAAATTTCAAATTGCATTTACTCAGCAACTACTGGTCCGATATCAAAAACCAAGATATCTCTGCAAAGGGGAAATCATGAGGAATCAACATCAGTGAGTACTTTTGAGATGAATTACTTTTTGACCTATATTTTGACCTTGAAATTGACAATAAGAGACATACCCGATCTCAATGACACCAATAGAAAAAAATTAGCCCTATACATCTATTACAACATATAAAAAATCTGTGTAAAATCTGTGTAAAAAATTTTCACACAGATTTACCTAGAAGTTGACTTACCCCATCAAAAGTACCCAAATGCAAAAATAAATTATTTGGATTCCTTACGATTTCCCCTTTCCAGAGACACCTTGGTTTTTGATAACAGACCAGTAGTTGCTGAGTAAATGCAATTTGAATTTCGGCGACCACGCAAAAAAGTAAAAAAAATTAACTGCGATACCTCAGCAACCGTTACTCCGATCATGCTAAGATTTTGGCTTTCTTGGTTATGACTTACCCACATGCCAATTTTCTTTGCAATTGGACAATATGAGGGTTCAAATTAAAAAATGTTGAGTGAATTGAGGTGAAATGACCCAATACTGCCATAACCGGGATACTGAGGTGCACGTATGTACACCCAAACTGCAGCCCTGACCAGTGTCCCAATTCAAATAAATGCCCCCATTATTCAGCACCATTCAGTCCTTCTCTCCTCACACAGAGACGGAACAATTAACACAGAAAAAGAGGTGAGAGGGGGAGAGAGAGAAAGACGGGGAGGGAGAGGTGGGGGTGAAGAGGAGAGCAGGGAGAATGAAGAGACAGGGGAGTAAAGGAGGAGCGGAGGAGAGGAAGTGGGTTAGAGGAGCGTCAGAGAGGGAGATAAAGATATTTTGTCCCTCTTTTTCTTCACAGAGACTGGACAATTAACACAAGCTGGCCTCGTGTGCCCTGTGCTCCTGTGCTCATAATAAAACAGTGGTTACGCATGAAAAAGAGGTGAGAGGGGAGGATTCAAAGGTTTGGAGGGAGAACAAGAGTAAAGGGAGAGATGTGAGGGGGTAGAGACAGAGAAATACAGAGAGGTGAGAGGAAAGATAAAAGGGGAGAGAGAAAGAGAGGGAGGAGGGAGAGAAAAAAAGAAATAGAGAAAGGAGGGTGGGAGAGGTAAGAGGCAGTGACGACAGAGAGAAAGACAGTAGGTGTGTGTGTGAGAAACAGAGAGAGAGAGACTGTATAAGACCACATGATAATACAATAGAAAGTACTATTATTGAAAATCACTTTCTATTGTCTAAAGATTTTTTTTATTATCATTGTGGTATCGGTATCGACTGTTCCTTAGTATCGAAATCAAGTTTGAAATGTTTCTATGGGAGAGAGTGTTTTACCTGCACATTTGAAGCTCTGCGCGGTGAGGCCCTTCTCCACAGACAGGCAGGTGAGTAGACTCAGAAAACTCGTAGTGACCGACTGCCTCTTGGCCCGCTGTGCCTCCCTCTGCTTCCTGTCTCTGCTGGGCCTGGACCTCAGCAGCACCCCCTGTAGGCCCGGAGCCGCCTCCACCACCTCCGCCTCCTCCTCGTCCTCGGCCCCTCCTCCTGCCATTCTCTGGGCAGGGCGCTGCTCCTCCGCTGCCCCCTGGAGGGCTCTGACCCACTCCTCCGCCTTGGTCTGACCGTCCGCTCGGAGTCGGACCATCTCCTTAGAGAAGACCACCTGGAAACAGTCTGCACGCTGTGTCCACAAGTCTGGACCTTTGGAGAGAAATAAGACACATAATAACATAATTACACACTGAATATTCTTCTAGTGAAATGATGCTGCTTTGCTTTCCTGTGTTTTATTAACTCTAGTATCATTGTTCAGTTGAAACTTCTTCATATTTTTTAAATAAAGTTTATTTTTCCTGGCTTTTGAATAATGGTGACACTTCACCCACTTCAGCTTTGTATAAACGTGTGTGAGTGATCATTTGTGGTTGGAGGGACCACTTGTGCAAATAGACCACCCTGCTTCTGTCAGAAGGACCAGGGCAGTTGTGGCTTTAGTGGTATAAGTGCTATAGAAGGCATTATTAAGAATAAAATTAAGAGGCAAGTTCAGGCAACCAAAGGCATCTTCTATGCCTCGCTCAGACTGTACATGGAGCAATTGCTACTGCCGCTGAAAGCTGCACTCTTGAGACCACATGTTCACAAGATCACTAATTTCTTAAAGACAGGGGTGTCCAAACTATGGCCCTGGGGGCAAATGCACCCCACAAACCAATATCTATTAGCCCTCAGAGTCCCTGCTGAATTGGCCCAAATGTATGCCGTCATAACTTGACAGCATATGATGTGATACATACTTAACATAAATATTTCAAGCCTTATTAAAGGTGTGCTGGCTCAGTCAAACTTATGTCAGATGCAACATTTTAAATGATGTAGTTAATCATCCTGTAGTCTGTGGCCTTTGCTCCAAATGTTTCGATATGCAACCCTCAGTGAAAAAAGTCTGGTTCAAAACAGACTCCCAATGAAATGAATCCAGTGTTCCACAGCAGCTCCACTGTTTCCTCCACAGTTGCTCCTCGTGCAGTCTAAGCGAGAGGTAAGAGCCCATACTTCACTGTGATTGGTTAATTCCACCTGTCACTCATTCAAAGCATGATGGAGGCTGACCAACAGGAGGAGAGAACAACTGTGTCTGTGTTTGAGCTTAGAGCTGCATTCAACAGAGAAGCTCTGAATCTCCTATAGATCTCTATGTTTTCAGATTGGTAAACTGATAACATTACATTTATATGACTCTATCACCCACCTCATCTTAAACTGTACATTTGAAAGTGCCTCACCGTGTTGAATAGATGTACATGAGGCCAGCGTGTACTGATGCACAGGTTTGGTCACGGGGCCCCTCCCCTCTGTAGGAAACACCTGGAGCATTGTCCGGGTCAACACAAACGTATAGGCTCTCCAGTTACTCTGATCCACCAGCTGATACAAGAGCCCCGCCTTCAACACATCTGGGCACCTCTGTGTGAACAGCGGCAGAGTCGTCGGCCTGTTCAACGCCACAGAGGATGACTGGGAGGAAAGGGAAGCGTCTGGGGATAGGGAGTCGCTGTCCAGATCCGGCCTCGTATCCAACCCACACGGAGAGGGCGAAGATGATGGCGAAACCGGCGGGAATTTGTCGATTTTTTGTTTTTCCGGTTGCCGTGGTTTCGCAGCTTGCACCGTCTCCCAAATGGCTCTCTTCCATTCTAGTGCCTCCCACTGGCAAGAAGCGCGTAAATGCAGAACGGTGCTGTTGAAGAACACGGCTTGGAGGGTGCGCGGGTCGGCCGGCTGCCCCAGGGCGGGCGTGGCGGCGCTTTGGCAGTGGGACAGGGAGTAGGCAGTGCCCAGTTGGCGATTGGCGCTGCTGTCTAAAGTGTACAGCCGCAGCTCACAGGGAGTTAGCTCCACGTGACAGTTGGTCCAGCGCCCCCTAGTGCCCTCTCTGTGCTCCAGCGCGCCCTGCTTCACCACACTGCCACTGCTCAGGCTCTTCTCTGCTGCAGAAAGAAGACAGAGAAACACAACAGTTTTAAGGTGCGCATGTTTGTAATCATTAAAAAGTCAGTTAATACATTATCCATGTTTTGTACTTTAGTGTTCCTCAGCCTTGGTATTATACTCTACTGTAAAACTGACCTACAAACCTATGTTTTTTTTGTCATAGCAGATGTCAACACCAATATTTCAGAAACCAAAACAGCGAGTGGTTGATAAGCTCTGCAGATATTCAATATAATATGAAATAACCACAAGCTCCCTTACTGTCTATTCATGGGTTTCAGCTTCCTGTTCAATGCAACATTTTGAGGACTTAATCCCATTTAAAATATTTTGTATATAATCTGCAATGACATCACACTGGGAGGTTCTACATGTATGTCTTTGGTAGAATGTTCAGCAGTTACCAATACACACATTAACAAACATTGTCAAAAAGTTTTAAGATCGTCTGAAAACTCAAAAAAAAGGAGATTGAGAAGGAGAAGAACGAGGTTTTTGGCCATGGTGTTTTGTGGGACTGTGGCAGCAACGTCTGTAGAAAGGAATGTTGACATGTAGGTGGGATGAATGTGACCTGGCTGTTCAGACTGAAGTCGCATGTCAAAAGATCAAATATGTATCAGTTTTAGGAGCACATATCCAAGTGGTCTGGGTCACATTTGAAAAAAATCTGATCTGTGTTGTTCAGACTGTCATTTAAAGATCAGATACAGGTTGCATAGGGGCAAAAAAATCAGGTTTGGATCACTTCAGGCTGCAGTCTGAACGTAGCCTAAGTTTAACTTGAGTATCAGAGTTTCAGACAGAGCAGTGCCTACAGTTAACATCACACCTTAAAGGTTGATGACAACAACTGCACAGTATCAGTAGTCCTAATTAGGGATGGGCATTCGATGAAATTTTCTTAATCGATCGTCGGAAGAATTAACGATCGATTATCGATTAATCATTAACGTGTTTATATTAAAATGATCATCATTATTATTACTATCTGCACTACTAATCTGCAGAAATAAATTCAACTTTACGACATATAAACCGTAACGACTCTAGAGCCACATCAGCCCGTTTGAGATTATAATGTGTTTAATGCAGTTTTGCGCAACTCTCACAGAAACAAAACTTAAAACCGCTAATTTGCATAAACTCAGCGAAGATAAAAGTACAGCTCTTGTGCGCTGATGCGGTCAACTTCTGTTGGATTAAAAGACATGATTCAGTGGAATACAGGTTAGTGTGACCATATTTACGTTTGTCAAAACCGGGACACCGTACGGGGGGTGGGACGTGGGTCCTCGTCATCGCGCGACTCCCACCTGGTAAAACTTTTTCCCACTGGACACCGAAACATATGTGCTGCTTTGTACACTGTGCACATGGACTCACACTTGTCCCGAACGCAACGGAAAGCGTGGAATTTCTTGTACAACTCATCGTTAAATACACATTTGCGTTGCAGACTGACCGACTGTTTGTGTTTGCTCGCTCCTTCTGATGCAGAGAGCTGTACGGACCCCTGTTTGGTCACGCTACGCACATCAACCTACATTCGGTTTGTTGATTAAAATGAACGTAATCGATGAATTTCTTAATGATCAATTATCGATTAATCGATTAATCATGCCATCCCTAGTCCTAATTAGTCATCATTCTGAAGCCAATGGATACAGTGCACTGCTCTGCATATAAAAAATGTAAAAAAGAAATGATAAAATTGTTTTCCACATCTCTGTTTTTCCACTAAACCATAAGAGAGCTGTGTCATCACATTATGTGCAGTGGCCTTTTCACATAAAAGTGATTAAATATTTTATAACTTTACTTTAAGCAGCTGCTCAGCCCAAACACATATGTAGGAGCTTTAAGGCCATTATAACCAATATGCTAAATTGCATATATATATATATATAAATGCAAATATTGTACAGATAGTTTGACCGTTATATTTGTTTTTTGTTTTGGTTAGTTTTTTTCCCATTATCCAGAAAACATCTGAAGCAAAACCAAAAAGTTCAAGCAGTATATACACCAGGCTTAAGCAAATTAAACAGGACAAATATAACCAAACTATTAGAAACTGCATGTATAACCAGGATTAACTTCCACCTGCACAAATTATGAAAGACAACCAAACCTGTTCTCCCTGCCTCAAAATGCAGAACCAGCTCGCGACCATTTATAATGCAGTTAACCATGTCATGCCTGTCACCATAACACCGAACCCCTCCCCAATCACTTCACGGCACCTAACGTCTGCTTGTTTTATCAAATTCATCTAATTGCAAACGTCCAACAAAACACGCCCAATTGAGTGAAAACTACATTCACAGCTTATTCTATTAGCCCAGCGGAGCCCCTCATCAATCTTACCCAAGCAGCATTGTCACTCCGCGCGTTCGATATTGTGCGTTAACAAAGCGCTAAATGAATATGCAAATTGGTTTAAATAAGAGTTGAATTTTGCGTTACACTTGGGAGAGTCGAAATGATGTTATAGTGAATTATAGTTGGCAAGCTGCTCTGTTTAATTAGCACCTGTTAGGATTCGACACAAGGAGTTAGATGAAAATATAACTTCCTCGGAGCTGCGCAGAATGCAAAATGGTACCTCGACTTCGAATGAGCTACACAAAGTTACACGAAGGGTTGTGAGATGAATCGCAATCGAATGGAAACCGCAGATTGAATGGAAACAATTACCTTAATTTCCCCCACAAACAACACAACCGTCTGTCTTACTCTGCATAAAAACTGCTAACCCTGTAGTTCAGATCTTTACATGTTGTGAAATGTGGTTTAAAATGAACTTTATGCTTGTCAAAAGTCAGAAAAAAAAGTCAAAAATCTGATCCTAATCATTACAATAACTAAATTAAAAACAGATACTCACCTTTCCTGAATAACTTAAAGGTGATACAGTCCCCTCCAAAAGTATTGGAACAGCAAGGCAAATTCCCTTATTTTTATTGTTCACTGAAGACATTTGGGCTGAAGATCAAAAGAAGAGTATGAGACAAGAGGTCAAAATGTCAGCTTTAATTCCCCGGTATTTACATCTAGATGTGTTAAACAACTTATGATATATCACAGTTTGTATTACACCACAGTATTTTTAGGTGAGCAAAAGTAATGGAACAAAAAATCTTAAAATAATTAAAATGTAATATTTGGTGGCAAAACCCTAAGTGCAATAACTGCCTTAAGACTGAGACCCATCGACATCACCAAACTGTTGCACTCTTCATTTGCGGTGCTGTTCCAGGCTTTTATCGCAGCTTCCTTCAGGGCTTGTTTGTTTCGAGGGGTTTCTCCCTTCAGTCTCCTCTTCAGGAGGTGAAATGCATGTTCTATCAGGTTAAGGTCAGGTGACTGACTTGGCCGGTCTAAAACCTTACAGTTTTTTCCCCTGATGAAGTCCTTTGTTTTGTTGGCAGTGCGCTTAGGGCCCTTGTCCTGCTGCATGGTCAAATTCCTAACATTTAGTTTGGATGCATTTCTCCGTATGTTGGCAAACAAAATATTTCCGTACACTTCTGAATTCATTCTGCTGCTACTATCATCAGTTACGTCATCAATAAAAATGAATGAGTCTGTTCCAGAAGCGGTCATGCACGCTCAAGCCATGACATTACCTCCACCAAGCTTCACAGATGAACTTGTGCTTCAGATCATGAGCAGTTCCTTTCTTCCTCTACACTTTGGCCTTTCAATCACTTTAGTAGAGCTCAGTCTTGGTCTCATCAGTCCATAGGATTGTGTTCCAGAACTTCTGTAGCTCATCTCTCTACTTCTTTGCAAATTCCAATCTGGCCTTCAGATTGTTACTGCTGATGAGTGGTCTTGCATCTTGTGGTATGGTCTTTATACTTCTGCTCTCAGAGTCTTCTTTGGACAGTGGATTGTGATACTGCTACATCTGCACTGTGGAAGTTGTTGGTGATTTGACTTACTGTAGTTTTGGGGGGTTTTCTTCACAGCTCACACAATATTTCTGTCATCAACTACTATTGTTTTCCTTGGCCGACCTGTTTGACTTCTGTTACTCAGAACACCAGTAGTTTCTTTTTTTTTGCAGGACATTCCAAATTGTTGTGTTTGCTATGTCCAATGTTTGTCTGGTGGCTCTGACTGATGTTCCATCTTTTCTCAGTTTCAAAATGGCTTGCTTTTCTCCCATAGACAGCTCTCTGGTCTTCATTTTGGTTTATGCTCTTTAACAAGAAATACAGTGTTGCAGTCAAGTTGTAGGTTAGTCATGCAGAGCTATTTAATGTTTGAACAGTCAATCTTAAAGGCAACACCTGGCAGCACCTGTCAGTCACATGTTCCAATAGTTTTGCTCACTTGAAAAATGGCTGGGTTTAAATAAAGGTTCGTCCTGAGTTGTTTAACACATCTAGATGTAAATACCAGGGAATTGAAGCTCACATTCTGACCTCTTGTTTCACACTCTTCTTTTGATCTTAAACTCAAATGTCTTCAGTGAACAACAAAAAATAAGAGAATTTGCCTTGCTGTTCCAATACTTTTGGAGGGGACTGTATATTACCATATTTTTTGTACTATAAGTCGCACTTTTTTCATGGTTTGGGTGGTCCTGTGACTTATATATTAAAATTTTCACACTGACAGCTGCGAGAGGCTCTAGTCTTGTGTGTCAGTATCTGCTGTTCCTGTTCCTCCTGTACCACTGTCACTTCACTCTACTGCACACGTCTCCTGCAGAAAGAGCCTCTGTTCTGTCTGTATCATGTCAGTCGATCGCACCATTACTTCTGCACCACTGAAAATTTAACATTTAAACAAACTTATAATGACAACTGAGAAGACTGAACACAAATGCCCCCAAAAAGAAAATCATATTTTGAAGATTACAAACTGCAAGTAGCAAAATCTGCATCTGAAAACGGTAATCAAACAGCAGAAAGAAAGTTTGGAGTGACTGAGAAACTCCAGGAGGATGCATCATGAAACTTCCCTGAAGTCACTGGATGGA